AAATATACCGTTATGTTCACCTCAATGGTCTCTATCGATCCTATTTTTTTTTTTTTAATTCGAGATTTGGTAGTATTGTGCATTTGTTCCGGAAAACGTAAACAAGTTGCACAAGTGTGACGTCATGCAAACAACGATTCTGTCAAATTCGAGAGAAACTTAACTCTCCGCACTGCCTCTCTTGCAAACAGAGTGGTTCTGGTGGCAGAAATGTTCCAGTGTGAAACCCACCAGTGGGAGTAAATATTGGCTATAAAGCTCGGAACACTTTGACGACTGCAACTTCACGACGTAACGACAGCGACATAATTTTGTCGACAAATGTCGCCTTGAAGCCAGCTTCTTAAACATTTTGAAGACCTCAGCGACATAGCAAACAGCTGATTTTAAAGTTTGACATTTTGGTATATTTATTTCACAAATTGTGTATTTTTATTTAAGTAAATAAGAAAAACATGAACAATCAAGAATATGTGATTAATTTTGCGACAATTTAATTTTGCAGCACTACATCTACTCATTGTCGCCGGCAAAATTAGAAATAGATTTAATTTGGCGACGTCGACAATTGCAGTCCTGCAGCCAAGATGTCGTGCTGTCGTCAAAATAATTGTGTCCGTAAGAACGTGTGTATTTAAAATTTGAGAGATGCTGCTTATCGCTTGTTGTCGTCAAAGTGTTCCGAGCTTAACTCTCCGAAATTTGGTTACTGGCAAGTTACAGGATGTTTTTTGCTGGAGAATATGAAAACAACTATTCTTTTGAACACATTTCAAGAGTGGTTGTATATTTTTTGCTAACGTTGTGCTTAATTCGCTATATTCAAGGATGGCTTGAGAATTTGGTGAATCGAGAAGAAAACACGTTTTCTCACTGCAAATTCACAGCTGTCAACTCATTGTTCTTCGCCATATTCTTTGTTTACCCGTTGCCACAAATGTCATTCTGCGGGAATGCGCAATCTTGTATTCTATCGTTCTTGCCCGTAATTCTCTCAATGATCCCATTCTTCTTTTTGCTGATAATTATCGGCTAGAAAAGTAAACAAGTCACTCCGAAACACTTCATTTTTAGAGTTTTTTCACTTCGCTCGAAAATAAGTAAACGGCAGCACTGCATAGCGCTTCTTGTTCTATGGGCGCCATCTGTATTTGAGAATATTTCGCACAAGCCTGACTATTAAACGAACCATGTACTTGTCAAATATTTCAGCACTCTTCTTCTTCTTGTATGTATACCATGCTTTTTCAATGCTGGGCATGTGTTCTTAGACATTAATATCGTGCAACAGAAAGCAGAAATTAAGGTTAGTTCAAATTTATAAGAAATTGGCTGAAGCAAAGTAAGAAAAAAGAGAAGTAATTAAAAAAATCGCCAATTATGGATGGCTCTGGAAATAATCGTTATGAACTTTTGTTCATGGACGATGATATTAGTGATCCATTAGATAATATTGCGATCAAGTCTAAAAAACAGGTTAAAACTGCTGGTGGCAGTGGGGGTAGTGCACCCCTCGCAAAGTCATCGAATAAACAAAATGTCGACAGTGTTCCAAGGACACAATCGAGCAAGAAACCTAACCAAGCCGAGAAAGAGAATAAGCCATCAGCCCTGAACAAAAACGAGGTGAATAAGAAATCGACGGCGGGTACTGCTGCAGATAGAACTAACAAGCAAGGAGGGCCAGTTGCCAATGCAAATCGGAAGCGCACTGGACCCGCTAGTGATGGCGGTCAAGGTGGACAACAGCAACAGGGCACGAGAAACTTAAATTTTAGACAGCAAAACGGCGAAACTCGCGAACAACGCAATAATCGACGCAATGTCCGGGAAAATGGATTCACGGGTAATTTTGGTATGCAAATTGAAGGTGGATCATCGCAGCAGCAACCACGCCAATTTCGGGAACGAGAAAACCGTGGCCCACCACGTAACCGCAATTTCGAAGGTGGTAACCGAGGCGGTAAGCGTGAATTCGACCGACAATCAGGCTCCGATAAAACTGGTAAGCAGAAAACACATCCATACGTATGTATAATTATTTAAGCTTTTGTATGTATTGGTGTTAATCAAAATCATGGAACACAAACATACGTGCATGCATATTCACAACTTCGACGGGATGAACAATGTCAAAACGTGCCAAATGTCAAAGATTTCATGAAGTAGATTAGGAAACTTTTAAATAAACCTAAAAGGAAAAAAAACGATAGGAGATGAACGAAATTTTGTGTTTTTCCGGCGTTTGCATTTGCTGGATGTTAAAATAACAAAAAACAAAAGTCAAAAGAATGCCAGTTGGAAACCCCACAGTGTAATAGTGTTTATTACATTATGGGAAAACTAAGGGCTGGTTTCTCCATCTCAACTTAACTTAGTTAGCCAATTTTCTTGACTTAGTCATGACCAAGCTGTGTAAAACGTAGGCTAACTTTTGACTTAAGTCCAAAAAGTGGCTAAACTAAGTTGAGTTGAGTTGGAGAAACCAGCCCTAAATATTACGTGTTTGATTGAAAACAAAATTAAACAATTTCAGGTGTGAAAGCTATTGACAAACGTGACGGTGCTGGAGCACATAATTGGGGATCCGTAAAAGAAGCTATCGACGATGTTAATAAGAGCGATGTTGAAGCTGGCAATGTCACTGATAAGGCTGAAGAATCCGGCAATGAGCAGGCAGACCAGGCACCGGTCGAAGAAGAAACCAAAGAATTGACGCTGGACGAATGGAAGGCGCAAAAACAACAACGAGTAAAGCCAACTTTCAATATTCGCAAAGCTGGAGAAGGTAAGCAGCAAAACAAAAATGTTTCTACAAAACCATTTTACTTACTAAGAATTCACACTATAGGTGAAGACACAACTCAATGGAAGAAAATGGTAGTTCTAAACAACAATAAGAAAAAGGACAATGAAAGCGAAGAGGAACTTGAATACGATCCTGCCATGTATCCGCAGAGAGTTGGACGCCAACAACGTGTCCTCGACATACAATTTAATTTCAATGACGGGCGCCGTGGTCCTGGTTTTGGTGGACGTGGGCGTGGCCGCGGACCTCGTCCAGGAGCTGGCGTTCCCAACACCAACACCAACTTTAATAATGCTACTGAACGCCCAGTCGCTGGTGGACGTGGGGTTATTACTGGCCGAGGCGGAAAACGCAATTTTGGTTTCAGACAGCAAAATATTGCACCGAAAGTCAACGACGAACGTCAATTCCCAACATTGGCTTAAAAGTTCTGTACATTTGACGCAGGCGCATTATCAAAAACAAAAAAAGAACTATTTAAACGAATGAAAATAAACAAGCAAGTAATAAAGGAATCAAGAATTACGATTAGTTTGAAGCTTTCTCAAACTCAAAGACTATATAAATAGTAAAATATAAAAATACAATTAATGAATTATCACAAGCTATTCTGTTTTCGTTACCAGTCTGTTGGATTTATACATTGAAATATAAATATATTATCCTCTAACACTAAATAACAGATCAAAACGCCGCCCAATAACAACAGCGTCAAAGCGTATAAATAAGGAACATCAGAGGAAATTGCTTTCAGATGAAAGGGTTTAAACCAATAACTTCAAGAGCCACACTAGCATAGCCAATGCAACAGCACTTGTGGTACATATTTATAAAGTCTAGTACTCCCACTGCTAAAATAATGTGTATATTTTTGTTTTTCCTTAAATTTAAAATTTTGTTTATTACAAAATGATACCGAATGTGGGAGTCACTCACTTTCCAATTATTTCCAAAACTACTTCGAGTTTTGCAAAATTATAGCAGTTAAAATTTAAAAAATAATATGAATAAACTAACAATACACGAACTTCATTAAGCAGTTCGTATTGAACGAAATTAGAAGCCAGCGAAAACTATTTGATGTCATCACATGAATGAAATCCATAGAACGAAGCAAATATCCATCATCATCACTCTCATGCCAAGCAAATATCATTTTATTGTAACTCTCTTAATTGTATTAACAAAATAATTTAAAGGCAAATAAAAGTTCACACTACTATTAAAGAAAAAGCCAATTTAATATACTTAAGGGTATAGGTATGACATGTTGAACAATAATTGCGTTTGCAACGAAATATTTTTAGAAAGCTATTAAATAATATCTATATTTATATGTAGTTCAAGCATTTTACACAATTTTAAGTTTTAAATACAGATTTTAATTACATACATATATTTGGAAACTAAGAATGAAAATTACCCAAATGAAAACTGCTTACAATTCAGCCCTATTCTGCATTTCGACTCGAATCGAAATGTTCTCCGTTTGGCAACTTTGGTATTCTGTGTTCCGTTTCCTTTCGATCCATCTTCGAAATTTACGATTATACCTATTCTACATTTCGATCGGAGTTCCGTTTTTCTAGGTTGCAAATTTGTTGACGGAGAACGTTTCGATTGTTATTTTCGTGGGTTTAAATAATAAAATTTATAAAAAAATAAGTAAAATATACTGTGCATGATTGTAAGTCATCATAAATGAATTTTCTCGATTTCTGTGTTTTCGCGAGCGGTAATACGGGCAATACGAAAAATTGGCTCAAATATTAGGAGCCAAAGGGGATATTGTGCGAGGTTTTCAAAGAGGAAGCACAGGCGTTTTTGTTTTCATTATCTATAAATAAGACTGTGAAATGCAAATACAATTTATTCTTTGTATATCAAATTAATAGAAGTATGTACATACATACATTAGGGTGAGTAAAAAAAAAATAAAGTATTTTTTTTGGATCCGACACACGAAAACTAGTACCTAGGTACCTCTAGAAAGTACTTACCAAACCTGAGCTCTTAATATTAACGGGAAGATTATGCTCGTCATAGTTTTCCATTTTCAATTTAGTCTCATATAACAATGGTCATATCTTATCACCAATAGATTGTTAAACCAGTTGCGTCGTCAATATTTATAGGAAATTGAACGCTCTACAAAAATGGTTTCACATATATTTTTTTCATTAATCTAACCACTTAAAAGATATTCAAGGTCAAAGATTGAAGTATTTTAAGGAAAATAATTTTTTTTTGTTTTGAATTTTGTAACTTACTAAAAAATAATTATTGCCAAATGAGTTTCAATTATTTCTATAGGGAATTAAATGCTCTACAAAAAAGGTCTCATGTAGTTTTACTGTACTGATTTTAATAGTTTTAATAAATATCTCCAATTTATCCATTTAATTAATGAATTTTGAGATAATTTATGATCTATTTCAGAAAAAGAAGGTTTTTATTTAAGGAATATCATCAAACTTATCAGCAGAAAAAAAATCTATTTCGCCATATGAAATTTTATAATTCAATACAGTACTGATACAAAAATATATTTTTTCTTTTGATAAAAATTGATACTCAAATTCTCATGAATATTTTCAAAATTCATAAATTGAAAATATTTATTGAAAAACCATTAAAATCAGGCATTGGGATTCTACTGCAAATATCTTATAAATGGTTAGAGTAATCGATTAACTACATCAGACCTTTTTTTGTAGAGCGTTTAATTTCCTATAGAAATAATTGAAACTCATATGAAAATATTTTTAAGTAAGTTACAAAATTCAAAACAAACAGTTATTTTCCTTAAAATACGTTACAAAATTCAAAACAAACAGTTATTTTCCTTAAAATACTTCAATCTTTGGCCTTAAATATCTTTTAAATGTTTAGATTAACCAAAAGAGTATATTAGACCATTTTTGTGGAGCGTTCAATTTCCTATAAATATTGACGATGCTACTGGTTTAACGATCTATTGGTGATAAGATATGACCTTTTTTATATGAGACTAAATTGAAAATGGAAAACTATGATGAGCATAATGTCCCCGTTAATATTAAGAGCTAAGATTTGGTATGTACTTTCTAGAGGTACTTAGTAGAGGTATACGCCGCCGCGCCACGCCGTCGCCGCCGCCGTTTTTTGTCATTCCTCACGCGCCGCCGCCGAGTTACGAAAATATCGGCGTGGCGGCGGCGGCGTTCGGCGCCTAAGGAATTTTGTACAAAATTTTCATGATGTACAGTATCGGTCATATCTATAGCACGCCATTTCAAAGTGATATTGTGTGCCACTTATGTTTATTTATTTATTTTTAAGAATTTTCAATTAAAATTTAATTCATTCTCGGACAAACCCCATAAATATCCAAGTTCAACAATTTGTAGAAAACTACAAAAAAGTGTAACAAATTTTAACTTAAATTTCAAACTTTTTTCTCGGAAGTGATAGAATTTTTTTGAGTACACAGTTTTTAGCCCCTGCAATTTTAGTCTGATAATATGCAAATTTTAAGTGGCTACGAATTACCGTTAATTTTTTAGAATTTTTTTTGTCGCATTGGCTTCCATATAATAAATAAACTCAATTTATTTGTATATGGAAGAAAACCGCAACATCCTTGGCGAAAAAAATTCTAAAAAATCAGCGGTAACTTTTAGCCACCTGAAACTTGCACATTATCAGACTAAAATTGATTGGGCTATAAAACTGTGTATTCAGAAAAATTCAAACACTTCCGAGAAAAAAGTTTGAAATTTAGTGAAAATTTGTTGCACTTTTTTGTAGTTTTCTATAAGTTTTTAAACTTGGGTTTTTATGGGTTTTGATAGAGAAAGAACTGTATTTTAATTGAAAATTCTTAAAAATAAATAAATAAACATAAGTGGCACACAATATCACTTTGAATTGGCGTGCTATAGATATGACCGATACTGTATGTACATTGAATACATCGTTTGAAGGAACTAAATACTACTTGTATAAAAACACAATTTTACGAAATGAAAATTACATTTATAAATTAGTTTTTTTGCATAATTTGGGCCACTGGACAAGAATAAGATCTCCTTTATTTTTCCAAAAATAGCGTAACTCAGAAAAAACATAGGTAACATATTTTTCGACGAAAGCGTTTATTACAGTTAAATTGGGGTCGAATACTGGTAATCTAATGATTTTTTTCCGCAGTAGACAATTCTTTTCAATACTACAACAATACTACTTTTTTATACACCTGCTACAACAACAACAAAGTAATAACACATCAAAAACTTTAATGCCAATATCTCAGAAAGCAGTTTTAATAGAAGCCCTTTGCATCGAACTCCTCGATTATTGCAGATAACACAAAGATAATATTTTAGTATTTTAAACAAACACGTTTTTTGCTAATATTTACATTCGTAAATTATTTTATTCTGGGGTCCCACATACGTATACAAGTACTAGGTGGCTATGTGAAAATTACGTTAGCATTCCTTAGTGATGGTCTAACCCCAGGAAGGTTTTGCTCCATCGCATCGCAATGTTTTCTACACAGGGTTGAAGTTATTTATTGAGAGCGACATAAATTACCCCAATAACTAAACTTCTAAAATTTTTTTATTTGTTTAAATTTAAATATGTAGTACATACGGATCTGTAGAGAACATAGAGATCCGTGTATGTATGTATGTATGTATATACCTCAGACCTTCTTCTGTTCGCCCATCAATCAGCGCCAGACACTCAACATTCTAATTCAAGTGGAAGTAACAATATTTAAATTTAAAACTAATTCAATAATGAAATAAATAGAATTATAATAATAGAATAATTGGCATGGCGAACGCCTAACGCTGACGAGTTGAAATGATAAGATTAGTAGCCTCATGGCTCTTTGAAATCTACCTTATGAGCAGTAGCGCCGGCGTTTCCAGATGCGCCGGCGTCGCCGCCGCCGCCAAATATTTTTGAAGTTGACCACGCCGCCGCCGCAAAGCCTGTCGGCGTAAACCTCTAGTACCTAGGAACTAGTTTTCGTGTGTCGGATCAAAAAAAAACTTGATTTTTTTTACCCACCCTAACATACATACATACATAAAATGTGAAGTTACATAAAAAAGATGCTTTTATTATTGCACTCGTTTTTACTAACTTTTTAAAAAGAGGTGCGTATGTTGTCGAATTCGAATTTGCTATGGAGCTTTGTTCTTCTCCTCCTCCTGACGGCTTTCTTCAAAGTGGAATTCATTTGCGTTCAAATCTTCCACTCTGTAGTAAATGCAAATGTTGTGGAGTGCTCAAACACTGGCTTTGAGCGATGAGTAATAGAGTTCATGATGAATTTAGGACTTTTCACTCATCTGAGAAAGATCAAACATGATGTTTTCTCTCTTCCTCTTCCTCTTTCGACTCGATCGTAACGCAGAATACCTAAGTTAGATTCTTGCGGAGCGGACTGCGGCAACGTAATCGAAATGCAGAATAGGGCTGATTGTATGGAAATACATACGTACAGCCAACATTACAAGGTAAAATCATTGAGAGGCAGTCTGACGTTTGCCAGCAATATAATTTTAAAATTTGAACTCAAGCTCACACACACATTCTCATTTTTTAATCTTAAACAACAACAATTGTGAACAACTTAATTTTTTTTTTATTTTCAATTTTATATGATTTTAATGTTTTTATCATGCATACAGCCATGGTCAACCAAATAGCACACACACCTTTACCCGAAAGCCAAATCCGCTAAAAAAATCGGCATGAAGATACTTTTTTTATACAAATTGCATGGTAACATCTTCCCTTGCATATTACCATGATACAAAAAGGTAGTTCCATTTCAAATTTTTTGACAAAAAATATGTTTTCAAGTTTCACTAATTGTACAAAATTATGAGCTACCTACATCGACCAACTCTTAAACTATTCGGACGTGTTCATACAAGTGTTCTTAGCTCGCGTAATAACAATACCAAATAACCCGTTATCATATTTCGCTTTTGTGCACTTTAGTGGAGCATCAGCATAACAACCACTTTGTAAACAAGGAACCGCTACAACATACCAACAAACAACAAAATGCCAACACAACCAGAGC